TACTCAACTTTTGGAACACCCTGTATGATTTTTAAAAATTTCAAAATATGTAAAAAAAACAAAATAAATTATGCGTGTCCAGGCGTTTTCCCGAAAGACTAACTGTTTTTTAAATAACAAATATTGTAATATTTGAGCGGCGTTTTCACCCTGTTGGAATTTGAGATTTGAGAAACCCCTCCTTATCGAACCTCAACCCTACAGTCAATCCGTTTTTAAAAAATCAGCTTTAAACGTCCAGCAGTTTAAGCAGAATAGTGATTACTCAATGGTCATATTTTATGAAACACCCTGTATATATTTTTAAAAAATCTTAAAATATGTAAAACAACATATTAAAATATACGTGTTTTAAGAGTTTTTCCGTAAAAAACTCACCGGTTTTTAAATAAAAAATATTCTAATATTTCAGAGTAGTTTCACCCCCCTTAGAATTCGAGTTTCGAAAATCCCTTCTTATCGAACTCTACACACTAAAGTCAATCCGTTTTCAAAATCAGCTTTTTACGTCAAGGGCTTTAAGCAGGATCGTGATTAATCAATGACCAGATTTTTTCAAAACATCCTGTATACATTTTAAAAATCTTAAAATATTATTCTGAAAATTTTTCAGAATAAATATATACCTAAATATTGAAACTTAATAAGTAAGTACTGAAACATACAGCGCCATAATATCTCGACCTCCGTCCGTTATGCTCGTAACAGGTTGAAACAGAATGTATCTAAAACAACTGATGCGTTATTCCCCAACCTGTTTCGAACCTCCATCGACAATCGACCGATGCAGCAGCGTTCCTTTCCCACACCTATTATCTCGTCCGCCGCCCTGTTATACTTGTAACAGGTTGAAAAACAACATATCTAAAATGACTGCTTCTCCAACCCGTTGCGAGCCTCCATCGACAATCGACCGATGCAGCAGCGTTCCTTTCCCACTCCTGTTATCTCCACCGCCAGGCGTTATGCCCTCAACTGTTTCAAAAAACCTGCTTCTTTTATATCCTATTATTTTTAAGCTGTTGTAAATACGACCATTGACGGTATCGACCGAAGCAGCTACGTTCGCCGTAGCGCTTTCCCCACTCCGTTGTCCGTTGTCTCGCCGCCTGTATCGATGGTTGACGAAATAACATGTTTTCAATCCATACTAGTTGTTTTTTGGAATTGCTTCGAGCAGCATAGAATTTCGTGGTGATGCAGAGCGCCGACTTGGTTTTTCCTTTCACGAGCGGCCGATCTCTACGTGTCGTTATTTTATATCTGTTATTTTTTAAAAGTAGTAACGGTTGCGTTATGTTATTTATAAATAATTGTTATAAAATAACAGATAGTTAAATAACAACCCATCACTACAACCAAAATGGCCCACCCTCTACAGGGTGTTTTAAAGATAGAGTAAAAATAACTCTTCGATTAACCCTCTATAATAAGTTAAATACTATAGTTTATAATAAATTGAATTTATGAATGTAATTTTCAATTCAAAATTTATGAATAAAAAATTACTAAACGGATTACCATTTGACATAGTTACAGGCAACTTGGCCCCAATTTACACCACCCCGTATCTCTTACCGTTTCCTAGATCCCAATGGTGACAGTGGAACTTGAAACACCCTGTATACTAAGAATAATAATATTTAAGAAGCCAAAATTAAGTTTAGCCTAGCTGCGTAACGTGGCTGAAATAAAAGAGTGACATTTTGGCATTACTAATTATAAACTCTTGGATGTGATAGTGCTCTATTTAAAAGCATTTAGCTCGTGCTCATAATAAAAACCTTTAAAACACTATTAATCAGGCCGCTTTGACTTAACTATACACTTTATTTTAGTGGCTAGATGTTTATGAAATTTTCCTAGAAAGTGACAAGCCAAAATTGAAATTACTTTGGTCTTTAATGAAAAATTTATCTATTATTTGATAGGGACAGAAAAGCATAAAATAAATTATTCTTTCAGAAATCTGCCTAAGGCTTAGCCGGAAAATTCCAAACACACGTGCTTTGATTAAGGCTGAATTAAGGTTTGCAGACCTTCAGCATTTGCCATAAAATAGCGATCAATTTGTTAAAAAACCATATAAATTATATATCACTGTAATCACAAAACTTCAATCTATTTCCGTATTGTAACGGAATTTTAAATTATGTCTTTATTTTCGAGAAAATTTAGTCCATACATAAGGAATATTTTGTTGATGTTTGACTATCCAAATCTTAAAAATTAAGAAGTTGCCTAAAATGTGCTACAATACGGATATAGTATAATCCTTTATCTTTAATTTCCTTCTTCATTTGTGTAAAAATACCTAGCCAGTTTTGCATAAAACGTTAAATGCCGAACGCTTATTTTGTTACTTTTTCGGACGGAAGTTTTTTAATTGGTAGACTATCATATCGTGCAATTACGAAGTCATTATAACTATTACAGAAATAAAAATATCTAATATTGATATTAACAATTTCTAACTTTTATTTGTAACTTTCACAGAAACTCGAAACGCCGTAAATTCGTTAAAAAATAAGCATAGTAAAGATATTTATAACATGACCATTCCACTAGTTAAATATGTAATAAATTTATTAATATATCCTCTAACTAAATTATTCAATAGATGTATAAGAGACGGTACGTATCGCAGTTGTTTAAAAATTTCCAAAATCGTACCAGTATTTAAAAAAGTGATCCTGAAAGTGTGAATAATTATAGACCTATAGCTTTAATACCCACACTTTCAAAAATTTTTGAATATTTATTGAAACACTTATTAACACATTACTTTGAATCTAATAACTTGTTCATAGAGAATCAGTTTGGGTTTCGTAAAGGAAAATCTACAACAATGGCTTGCATTACAACTATGTTGGTTCGGTCTTCTGTGACCTTACCAAGGCCTTTGATTGTGTTGATCACAACATACTTTTACAGAAAACTTCATATTATGGAGTAAATAATTTGAGTTCGAAATTATTGGCTGATTATCTTGTAAACCGATCTCAACAAACATTAGCCAACGGTACGCTCTCTGATGTGAGTGTTGTAAAATATGGGGTTCCGCAAGGTTCACTATTAGGACCCTTATTGTTTTTAATTTATATTAATGATTTACCCGTGGCTACACTTCAGAATAATATGATTTTGTTTGCCGATGACACTACTATCTTATGTGCTCGGAAATCCCCTGAAGAAATTCAAACTGATTTTGAATCGATTTTGCTAAATGTTGGTGACTGGTTTCAGGCAAACCGATTATGCCTGAACGACACTAAAACAGAAAAAGTTATTTTTTCTCTTAAAATAGATTTTTGCAGTGTCCGATTTGTGGGAATAAAATTTGACACAAAACTGAGTTTTGAAAGTCACGTAGACTATGTGGCAGGGAAGGTTTCCATAAGCATGTATGCATTTTGGCGATTGGCTAAGTGTGTGGAGAGTAATGTGTTAGTAGCTGCCTATCATGCTCTCATTCACTCGGTGCTTACTTATGGAATACTTGTTTGGGGTCACTCAGCTCATGCTGACAGACTGTTTGGACTGCATTGAGAATTTTGTCAAATTTAAGTTATCAAGCAGATACAAAAAACGCCTACAAAAGAAGGGGAATACTGACACTTCCATGTTGCTATATCCTCCAGTGTCTTTTATTTGTGAAGGATAACCTAGAACTATATACTACGCATGATGAACAACACAATTATGCAATCAGAAACAGAATGAATGTAAAGCCTGTTCATTTGCGCCTCGGAAGATCTTGGAACTCCAGCCTTCATTATGCTCCTGCATGCTTTAATAAATTATCTCAAAATGTCAGAAATTTACCAAGACATCAATTTAAAACGACAATTAAAAACTACCTTCTTGATATGGCTTATTTTAGTGTTACTGATTTTTTAGAAAGCAGTGAAGGGTTATAGCGTGGTTATAGGTCAAAACATTGACATTGTGTATTTATTGTTTTTTTTTGTGTAATTTAAATTACTGTTTGATAATTGTTGTGCTTATTTTATAATTTTGCATTTTACAAAATATGACTGTGTAAGGATACTTGTATCTATTAACATGCAATAAATGATTTAATTTGATTTGATTATAACAAAACTGATGAATAGGTGCTTAAGCAGACGCTAATTAAAATAAACTGACTTGGTTTGACATGAAATCTCACAACTTTTTATAGTGGAAGAATTGTGTTGCGAGACTTGACATTTTTTGAAATTCTATGTTTTTGATGAGGGGATCTCATTTCTTTTTGTAGATTATCCTCCTATTTTAATATATCATCGAAAATAATATTAAAGAAGTTTAACTAGGTGATGAATTTTGAATTATTGTATAAAATCAGATAATATCTAGTTTTCTAACGACTTTCGTTGTAACCCAAATTTTTAAACACCCGGTGTATTCAAGGGATCATATTTATTTATCATTTTTTAAACTTATAAAACGATATATTAATTTTAATTACGTTGTTTTCAACTTTAATGTTTGCACATTTTTGTGGTCTGACTTTATTGCAAATTTGATGTAAAGCTTGGAATATGTATAACCTATGTGGGTATCCAGTGTAAACTTCAAGCATACAGCGATGCCAGGATTTATTGTTTTATTTATAAAATCTAAATGTAGTAGATGACCTTCGGAACTTTCAGATCAAATAAACGAACTTAACTGATTAGCTTTTCTTACATGTGTGATTTTTTTTTATCATCGATTCTACATTAATACTACACTAATTACATCTATTTAAAATAAGAAAGTTGCTGTCAACTTCCGGTATTTCTGGAAGTGCAGCCATATTGAAAATATTTGTAATCGATAGATCTCGTTGTAAAACAATAATGTGCAAAAAATCTTCGATCTAGGTATTATAGTTCTGTAGAAACTTTTAATGCACGCTCAACCTGAGACACCCTCAATACTTTATTAGATAAGACTACGTTTACGTTACTTATACGTTAAATTCTTAGGTTAAATTACATATTTTGATGTTTCAGATCAGAGTTAACTGAGTTGTCGTCATCATGTCCAGTCGTACAATTTTAAGTCGTCCGCGTACTAAAATTTATAATTCAAACTACAACATCGGCGAGAGTTACTACAAGTCGGCTTTGGATCGTCTGGATAGGAAATACTCTGGAAGACCTTTGTCCCCACCACCTCGTCAACCCTCAGCTTTTGGGGCAGAAATTGATGACAGACATGCTAGGTAAAATTTTGAGTTTGCAACGAATGAAACTATAAATGTTAGAAAACTTTTTTTGACTGAATATTGATATTAAATCGATAAAACAAATCACTGTACCAATATATGGTTAGACTATCATATACATGTATTTAATTTATATTATTTTACACTACATAGCATTTGTTTTTAAAATCACATTACATACACCAATTTATTTTTGTTTTTCTATACAGAATATTTGCTGATGAAGATTTAAATGAATCGAGACGTCGTGCCAGTGATAGAATTAGAGAAAATCATCTTTTCGACTCCAGAGGAGGAAGAATCAGAGCAGCTGACTTATATGAAGACGGTGCTATAACTAATGAAGTAAGTTCAAAGAGTGCTCGAAGTTATCTATCACTATAAAGCAAGACAGAAACAAAATTCTAAATATATTTTTTGTTCACAATTTATGGTGGGTTGGTTAAAGTGGCAAAAAACACCGTTTGTCGAACTCGCAGAACAACTAGCAAAAGGCAAAACCCTATCTATGACGGTACAATTGATGTACCATAATTGTTAAGCGTTTATAACCTTCAGTAGCGTTGAGGATAACGGCAACTTCTTGAAGATCTACGAAACTGTTTGTAGGCACCGAGGAAACGATTCAGTGTCCTTCTGACTGTTTCTCCTTCTTTCGAGCCTTTGCAGCTTCGGCAAACTTCCACTGACGATTTCCCGACGTGAGTTAATTATGAGCTTTCCCGGTTTCTTAAGGTCGTATTTAGGTCAAGTTTTGAAAAAAGCCACGATTATTATACTTTTTCTTCCATTTTCCTCACTCATTTTCCTGGCCTTCTCCTATTTCTCTTGCTTTTGCTCTTCCTGTAGCTTCTTTAAGTTGTGGTGGGTTACCAATAATAAAATAATTTTCAATATTATGACTATGACGAATGAGAAATTTAAAACTGACAATAGATATTTATAGGGAAATTAAAATAACTTTGGTTACACATCATAATACGACCACCAGCAAACTCTACAAAACGACGCACAGTGCTTCGAACATATGGCTCTAGAGGACAAAAATGCAAAACTTCTCTTCTATTGTAGGCAATTTATTCGAACTAGGTTTATTTGACACAAATGATGAGTACTCTCATTGTACTAAATGATGATGTTCTTAGTCCCACGGTTATGAAAAAAAATCTTATAAATAATAAAAATGTTGGAGTTGTGTTCCATCTAAGGAAATAATAATTTATAGTATTAAAACGGTGTAAGTATGAAATAAATTCCTGTGATAAAAAAGAATTGAAATAACATTAGAACATGATTCCTACAATATAAGCCTAATATAAGATAAAAATGTTTTTCTTTAATGAAAAAGAAACATTAATGTTATATTTAATTAAAAAAAACTTAAGATACTATAAATTTACTTTAGGACAACAAAATGCATAGATCGTAACTACTCTGATTCAGAAGAATCACTGCTGACAGAATCTTCCAAATTTATAGTATCCAAATCACAGGTAGATGAAGTATCCTCACATATAAGATATTTCTGTACATCATTTTCTAATAATAATTCTTTTCTAATAATAAATTCTAAATAAAAATACTGTTCTTTTTGTTGGTATGAGGGGTTCGGATGTTAATAGTTACCTCTTTAATAGACCATATCCATATATTATTTTTTCCTTTTCTTGGGTATGAGGTTTTATAATAAATTGAAAAATGGAAACTTTTTTTATCTCCAACATAGTGGGCTTGCAGGCACAAGTGGTGTCTCATTTGACTGGAAGGTTCATCAATACCTATCTAATAAAGAACACATTTTTTGAAATACAAATAATTTTGAGTTCTTGTCCTTATGATGAAGCCAAGTATTAACCAGATCGGCATTACTTATATCAATTTTACTCCTTCTGAAAAGTATTATAAAATAAAGTTCGTCGCAAGCAGACGCAGGTGAACTATACGAAAATTAAAAGTGTATGAATATGACAACAAAAATATTCAATAAATACGATATGTTTTGATATGTTTTTTTTAAATGCCTTTTTGAAGTTTGAAAACGTAAAATTTTTATACCCATTTACGAATCATCTTAAAAAATAAATAAAAACTAAACAATCACGAACTTGTTTAGAAATAAATTTAAAGTACATACCTTGTGTTTAACAATATCCATAGTGGCTTTCAATTAAGTACGTACCGCTAAACTCCATAATATACAGAACTACTATGAATGTTACTCTTTTCACTGATAAGATAATGATCGCAAAATTAATTTTTAGTGAAAATATTTGCTAACAAAAAACGCTGTTTATGAAAAATAATATACAGGATGGTTGAACATTGCTATAAGTAAAAAATTACATATTCAGATATTAGTAAATTTTAACTTTTTTTTCGATTTTTGTCCATGGGACGAAGCACTGTGCGACGCATGGTGTATATTTTATTTGTTTTGAAGGTTTATTGGCAAATTAGTAGTATTTTTACTAACATTTTTTATTTACAAAGTGTGAAGTGTTATCGATCGTCATTTCAATGTTATCTGGGAGCCGTTATTTTTCGATCATACGGTATTTGATTAATAATATTCTTTTAAATAAAATAGTATACAAAACTTGAAGGAAAGTTTTCATTATTGTCTCGAGTAACATTATAAAATTCTCAGTAATAATGAAACACTTCCTAACTCGGTATATAATATACTGTATGAAAAAAAACGGCGTCAAAGACAGCTGGGGAATGACAATCGTTGAAAATTTTGGCGAGGTCAATCTCTATATGTCATTTACTAAAAATTCGTCAAAAATTAACACTAATTATACAGGGTCCGGCAATAGTGCGTCGGGAATCTGTATATAGTTCCTAGAATAAAAAACTTGGGGATTTTGTTTAAGTGTAAACCTAAAGTATGTAGTACTAGGATGTATTTCAGGAAAATATTTTAACTTCTACAGGGTGGCTCAAAAGAGTGTGCGTGGATCGGGATTATTTTTTTAAATAGAACACCCTCTATATTATTGCATTTTTGGGTTCCTTTCAGACCACTTTACATAATCCTAAGATATGGGTAAATATATTTCGATAGTTCAAAAGACATTAAAAAATAAATAAAAAATATATATTTTCAGATTTCTTAAATTTTTTTAAAAAAAAAACAGGAACTGTCCTGAAATCAAAACTGTATTAGGTATTTATTTTAGATGGTCTATACTTATTTTGGTATAAATATCGTAATCTTAAATCATACAGGTCAATTCGACGCCAAACTTCCTAAAATATAGATACTCGACGCACTTTTGCCGGACCCTGTAGAAAAGTTAAAAAAGAATAAAACGTTTCCAGACACAAATCTATTTCCAAAAAAATGTTTTTCCGAATTTGGAACTACTCAATATAAAAATAAATTAGAACCTTCTTAAAGCCAACCGGCATTAGTAAGCGCCATTAAAAAATAAAGAAGAGTACGGGCTAAGTAAATGGTGTCTAGGGCTTGACCTCACCAAAATTATCATCGATTTTCATTCTCCAGCCGTCTTTGGCGCCATTTTTTTTTCGATCCTATGGTACTATTGATTAATATTTTCATTTTTAGACTTCCGCAGCGTTGAAGAGAATCAGAGCTGCCAAGAAAGTGACCATCGTGGACGACGTAGACTTGGAGTCCACGTCCAGCAACTTGAAGACGCAAAGACTGCTGGACAGGTCGGAAAAAATCCTGGACAGCATCGGCATAAACGAGAGTTCGGCTAGTAGAAGAGCTCTGGACAACGACTATCAAAGCGCTTATCAGAAGAGAGCTCTTAAAGTAAGAGATGGATAGATAATTCGGAGGATTATTTCATTTTGATGGCATTAGAAATATTGTTGTATTATGTTTCATAGTAACAAGTTTTTCATTTTCGCTACTAAAATCGTGCTAATTTAAGTTAACGCTTGGTTTTGATATTAGAAATATACAGCTTTATGCTTAATACTGAAACGTTTTTTTAGTTCTTAACCCTTTGTGTGTTTGTTTGATTTCACTGAGTCAGATACTATACCGTGTGATGCATCTTCGTTGGAAACATAGGAAATCCCGTGCAAATTTTAAACTGTTGAAATATTGGCTCCAGTATTAATTTAACAGTTAAGTCGTAAGTAGTTCTTTAAAGGTCTGTCTATGCCGAATATACATGCCAAATATAAACAATTTTGGTCAAGCCGATTTTGACTAATTTAAGAAAACCTGCATCTATTTTTAGATTAAAATTGTTCAGTTTTGTAACAATGCCAAACCAGTGAAATGTCAACATACTTTAAGTTGTCAACCTACGATTTTATCATTGTCAAATGTAATTTGTTGTGCTGTCTTTGTCTATGTGCTGTCTACACTACTACGTTATAGTACCTACGCTTAGTGTTCGTTTAGCATATAGTAGATAGCAAAACCAAAAACGCAATAGATTTCATAATCAGCAATAGAAAAGATGTAATCAAAGACGTACGTGTATTAAACAGATTTTCGATAGGAAGCGATCACCGCATTGTAAGAGCCGAGATAAAAATAAATATAAAGAAGGAAAGAACTAACATGATACTCAAGAAAAACCACAAGAAATGGGTAGCCTCAAATCTAAATTATGAAAATACTACTACGATAGACGAAATATACGAAAACATCAAAGGGGCCACTCAAACGGCTATCGAAAAATGTTGTCCCAAAAAAGTAAAAGAACAAAAACTGAATCAAAGAACAAAACTTTTAATGAAACAGAGAAGAGATATGGAGGACAAGAGTACACAAGAATATAGAACTTTAAACAGAGAGATATCCAAAGAAATCAGAAAGCATAGGAGGCAACAGAATACGGAAAAAATTAGGAAAGTCATAGAGAAGAATCAAAGTTTGAAGATATTGAGAAATAGTACAATGGGAAGAAAAGAAATACAAAAGATCAAGGATATGCACGGCAACATAGTAACATACAAACAGGAAATCCTACACTCTATTAAACTTTTCTATCAAGAACTTTACACAGCAAAACAGCAGGGGATCAGAAGCGACATCCGAAAGGTAATAAATCAGGGGTCGGAAGAAATTCCAGAAATAACCGAGGGAGAAATTATCAGTGCCCTTAGAGATATGAAAAACAATAGAGCTGCCGGCAACGATGGACTGGTAATAGAGTCAATCCAAGAAGGAGGACCAGAAATCATCAAAGCTTTAAATGTCCTATTTAATAAATGCATTGAAGAAGAAATAACCCCATCACAGTGGAACAACGCAACCATCATCACAAGAAAGGTGACGTTACAGACCTTAAAAACTATAGGCCCATCAGCCTTCTTAGCCACGTATACAAATTATTTACTAAAATACTCACCAAGCGTTTGACAAATAAAATAGACTTTTTTCTTTCGAGCGAACAAGCAGGTTTCCGATCAGGTTACGGAACAAATGACCATCTTCTAACAGTCAAGGTCCTTATCGAGAAACGCATTGAGTATAATAGACCACTAATGCTTGTCTTCGTGGATTTCGAGAAGGCCTTCGATTCGGTAGACCAGCGGAAGCTTCTAGAGACACTAAGTGAGAGTCGCATCGATCATCGATACTCCTCAATCATAAGACATATATATATATATATATATATATATATATATATATATATATATATATATATATATATATATATATATATATATATATATATATATATATATATATATATATGATAATGCCACGGCAAACGTCAGAATATCGACAAGTCAATGCACAGATAAATTCAATATCGATCGAGGGGTAAGACAAGGCGACACACTGTCCCCTAAACTATTCGTTGCTGTGCTGGAAAGTATGTTAAAAATGATAAACTGGGATTCAACAGGAATTAACATCGATGGCAAATTGATAAATCATCTCTGTTTTGCAGATCACATTATTTTAATAACAGACAACATACAGGAGGCACAGAATATGCTAGATATGCTGAATGATGCTTCGGAAAAAGTCGGTTTGAAAATTAACTTGTCAAAGACACAATACATGACAAACCTAGTACTAAGTGGAAATTTAAACATTAATAACATACCTTTGGAACAAGTGCATATATATAAATACTTAGGGCATGAGATCGGTATTAGAAGGGATAATCAGACCCACGAAATTCTACAAAGAATAGGTTTGTCGTGGGCGGCATTTGGCAAACTAAGGCATATACTGAGATCTGATATTCCCATATGTTTAAGAAGAAAGATCTTTAACCAGTGTGTTTAGCCTGTCCTCACGTATGGAGCTAAAACGCTTACTTTGACAAAAAAGAACATACATAGAATACAGGTCATGTAACGGAAAATGGAAAGGTCTATGTTAGGAGTTACACTCAGAGATAAAATACCCAATCATACAATACGAAATCGAACAGGAGTACGAGATGCGGTGATATCTGTCTTACATCTTAAATGGAATTGGGCAGGACATGTGGCTAGGATGACAGATGGACGGTGGACAAAGAGACTTGTGGAATGGAGACCGAGACAAGAGGCCTATAGAAGCAGAGGACGACCTCCTAGTCGATGGACAGATGACATTAAGAGGGTGGCTGGAAACTGGATTCAAGTGGCACAAAATAGAAGGAAATGGCTAGAGTTAAGGGAGGCTTTTGTTCAGCAGTGGACGGTATAAGCTAAATGATGATGATGATGATGATGCTTAGTGTTCCCGAAATGTATTTTTGTAATTTAAAACTGGTTTGAATGAGGCAAAAGCCCTTCAAAAGCCTAACGCTTAGAAATTACAATTTGACATTGACAAAATTATAGAATGATAACGGGTGTATTCCGTTGCTTACCTTGGTTATGGTTTTATGTTCCGTTTCTATCGGTTCCCTGAAAGTTTTCTTATTACGGAACACGGTTCCTGAAAAATTCCGTTATAACTGTCACCAAACTAACCAGCGCGAGAAGGCTGGTTTTTCTGGTTTTGTTTTTCAATCAATGTCATTTATGTGACAGAAATCAAGCAAATATTGGAAGTTCGAGTGAAATTCTCATTTAATTTCTAAAATTTGTAATAATATTTTGTATTTACATCCAAAAGCAATGAAGGTAGGCAGTAAAGGTAAATAAATTTCATTAACTAAATAGAATGATTTTTAGGACCATTTAAACTTATCATTGCAGCCTTTCTTAAAGTCAGGAACATTTAAAGAAAACATGAAAAACAAGACAAGAAGTAATCGTTAATGTTTTGTAAGCTATAAAAATATAAATATTGATTAATTTGTTTATTTATTATTGATCTGTTTTAATATTGGACCTGCAAATCTTCACTTGAGCTGTCTAACGAGTTTAACAGTTTATTAATATAAAGTACTTTTCAATATTAAACTCCATTGAAAAGAAGAAGCAAACGTAAAAGCAGAGAATATGTTACAAAAATGCATAAAAGATACATTTTATAATAGAGGTATTGAAATTTAGAAAACGTCAACATTTGACGTTTCCAGTATTTTACCAAACCGTTCCGTATCAAACCGATATTTTTCAGGAACCGTAGTTTACCGGTCTGGTTCGCCTGGTTTTGCAACGGAATACAGCCTCAGTTTACGGACTAATGTTGATATAGTTATATACAGTTTGCTAAAACAATCAAGGGCTAAAATATCATGTTTATGGCACTTAAAGAAAAAGTTCTAAAGGGGGATGTTTTGTGCTTAGGACTGAGAAAATGTTGACATTTGTCTGGTTTTGCATTGTTACCTGTTCAGTTTTAATTTAAAAATAGATGCAATTTTTCTTAAATTACTTAAAATCGGCTTGTCCAGAATTGTTCAAATTTGGCATCTGTATTCAGCATACGTAGACATTCCATATAATTTAGATCTTACAACAAGAAGTTGCATAATCCAATGAAAACGTCCTAAAGAATTTAACCATCACCAGGATTAATTATATCATCAGATGAAACATATTTAACATACCAGATGCAATGAATATTCTGCATTATAATCTCTAGCCTCTAGCCTACAAGCTTATATCTTTTGAAAAAGTGTAAAAATAGGTCAATGACTGAAACTACTTTCATCAAATAATATAGAATATCTTCTCTAATAATTAATAATACTTTTTGCGCTTTTCTTAACATTTTAGATTTTTTATTAGTTGCTTTGTGTGTTTGTGTCTAATGCCTTTGTGATGTAATCACATTTCACACAGGTTTGCTGAAATAACATCATCTTTTGAGGTAATTTCATTTACTAATCCTCTACTATTAAGATGTTGTAAGGCATTATTTCTTAAAAGTTTCTCTTTTAGGTAACTTATGATGCTGACTCTGATAACCTGACCAAGTGGTCTCCAGTGGCAGAAAAAAGTGAATCCGCAGCTGGTTCTGCTGCAGCTTTCCGAGCTCGCCAATCACGTGCAAGAATAGATGATATCGATGAAGAAATGGCTGCTCTTCAAGAGAAACAAGCTGCTAGGTAAAAATTATGCTTAGTTTATTTTCCTTAAACCAAACAACTGGACTAGTGAACTAAAATATGTAGTAATATTTTTTGTTTTTGGTGCACGAAAAGATATGTTTCATATGAGCACAAATGCATATTAAAATATGCTTAAGACAAATTGGAGAAGTATGAATAGTATTTCCTTAAGCCGTTAAGTTTAATTTCTTAGGGTTAATGTTAAGGGTAAGGTTAGGAATAATACTAGACCTGTTCCAAAAACAGGTGTGAGTCCAAAAATCCTTGACAGTGTACATTTTAATTTCAAAATAGTTTATTTTATTTTACAAAGAAATAAGTTGGTGCAATTGGAACGAATTTGAAATTAAAATTCAATGACAAAGAATACAAGAACATGTAACGCCCATATACGAGCTGCAGCAGAATTTGTGACGTTAGACGCCATTTTTTGGAAGTAACGAATGAGTCATCAGCTGGTCATCAGCGACAATTTTAGCGACTTTTAATAGTTTGTTGTGTGTAGTGAACTTTGTATAAACTTTATTACAATGGTAATTTGTTCAGCTTTCAAATGTAAAAGGTGCAATGATCAGAAAGAGCCAGGAGTTACGTTCCATAGGGAAATAAACAGTCCACTCCACTTTTTAAGTGTTTTTTTTATTGAATTCGATAATTATTTTTCTGATATTATATGTACTTAATATGTGCTATACGTCGATACTAGTTTTGTATCTTTTGTTAAAATTTTAATACGTTTTTTTCGTAATTAATTAGTATGATACAACCGCATACACCATAGGCGTAGTTAAAACATTTATAAAAAATATGAATATGGCTTCAAGCGGCTGTGTTAAGAAAAATATGTGCCACGGCACTGTTTGTAAGAATGGTAACAGTTGGAATTCGGGTGTTATTTGTCCTTATATTCTTTAGTCATTGATGAAATTAATATTTTTAAAATTGACAAGTGATTACTTCAAAATATTGTAAAAAAACTGTATAAAACTGAAAAAATGTAATTGACAATTAAAAAAAGTTAAAAAGAATTATTTCATACTTTCAAACTTCAAGGAACTTCTGGAAATCAATATTATATTTATCAATATAACTTATGTACAAATATTTTTTTTTAATATTACGCAGAAATAAATAAAACATAACATAAATAAAACAAAATAGTTTATTAATAATAACACTTACTGAATTTTATATCTTAAAAGTTGATTAATTGACTTTAATATTAATTTTTTTAAACCGGTATCTTTTGACCCTATCTCTCTGCAGTAGGTACTAAAATCTATTATTTACCTATCGTGTGATGTCGTTATTTTACAGCTACTTCAGTTTTTAGTACCATATTACGAGTTGGTACAAAAACTTTATTGGTGACTATTGGAGGCTCTCTGGGCACCTACAGTTAATTTTCTCTCGATTTTTCCTCCACTTAACTTCAAAAAAACAGAAAACACACATAATAACGCGAACCAAAATGCAAAAGCAATTTTGGCATTTGACATAATTAGACACAAATTATAACCTATAATTTGGCAACAATTCGACAAATCTTAAGTCGAGTTCATACGCGTCTGTGTCCGTGCATCGTTCATCGTTCCGTCACTCCAATAATATTGAAATATGATGTCATTTTTGAAATAAACCAATAAAACTGGTTAAAAACAGGAGACGACGCATGACGGATTTATATGTATATAAATCCATCCATAGTTACCTTAAAAAATATTAGAATTACTTTATTGAGAATTACTTACTACTATTTGAATTACATTTTTTTAACCATAAGTAACTAAGTTTTTGTTTGTTTTAGGGAACGCAGAGTTGCCAGATTGAAGCAGTTGGTGGCAGAATGCGACGCCGAAACTGTCGATGACAGCGGAAACGCCACTCTATCTGTCAGCGAGAGAATAGAGAGAAGGAGTGCACAGTTGCAATAAGAACAGTTAATTACATTCGAGTTTTCAACTGAAGTAGATATATACAAATATAGGAAAATGTAATAAAAATACTGTACATATCAACCTTGTACTAATAATTCAATTTTTTAGAAAAAAATCGTTACAAAGAATCTTAGTTTTTAACGTTTTAATTTGAAAAAATCTCTAGCTTGGTTTTGCATTTCAATTTTTCAATTATTTTAATGCTTTTATATTATTATTTCTTTTTTCTTCCTTTTTTTTTCATACAAATTATAAACTTTTTTTCTTACGATTTTGCTACAACATTTATTGTATTATCTTTACATAATGTATTCTATTTGTGAATAAAATATACATCTTAATCGTTTTTTAGTTATATAAATTATATACTTTTTGTATATTAATTTTTATCGATTAGGTGTTATAGACACAGTAAAAAATAGAAAAAAAAAACATAAAGAGTATACTACCACAGCCTAACACCCTTTATTTATTCAAGTGAAAATAATTGGCTAATCTTCTGCGACTTTTACAGATCTGTTGTGTTGCTCTTCTTACCCCTAGAATATAGATAGAGGACTAGCCATTAGTGGCCTCAACCTTGGGGCATCAGGGGGCTTCTTTCTTCTTCTTTCTCTGCCTGGTCCCATCCAGTGTTGGATATAGGCCTCTTCTAGGTTTTTCCATGCTTCGCGATCTCTACCCAATCTTATCCATTGTCTTCCCGCCACTGCCCTGACGTCATCGACCCATCTCTTTTTTGGTCGGCCCACACTTCTTGTTGTTCCCCTAGGTCTCCATAGGATTGCTTTTTGGGGCCATCGATCTAGATCCTGTCTTGCCACATGTCCTATCCATTGCCACTTCAGACTTGCCACTCTTTTAACGACATCTATTAATTTTGTTTTTTGACGTATGTGGGTATTCCGTATTTTTTCTCTAATGGTGACTCCCAACATGATTCTTTCCATGGCTCTTTGTGCTACTCGTAGTTGTTCTGCTGTTTTTCGGGTAATTGCCATAGTCTCTAAGCCATACGTAAGCACAGGTAGAATGCAGCTGTCGTAAGCCTTTTTCTTTAGGTTCATGGGCACCTTTTTATCCTTGAAAATATTGCTCATATTTCCAAATGCTACCCATGCCAAATGGATCCTGCGTTTGATCTCCGTATTTTGGTTTTCCTTGCCCAGCTTGATTTTATGACCTAAATATATATAATGGTCTACGTTTTCAATAATAACGTTGTCAACGGTAATGTTATGGATATTGTTGCTCATTATCTTGGTCTTCTTCAAGTTCATTTTAAGGCCAATTTTCTGGGATTGGTCATTTAGCTCATTTAGCATGGTGTTTAGTTCTTGAATGTCGGTGCTCAGCAAGACAATATCGTCTGCGAACCTCAGATGGCTAAGGTGTACCCCATCGATGTTTAGACCTCTATTTTCCCATTCTAATTTCTTGAAGACATTTTCCAGTGCCAGTGTAAATAACTTGGGAGAGATGGTATCTCCTTGTCTCACGCCCTTGCCGAGTAGTATTTTTTCTGTTTTGAGGTCATCATCTAATTTAACTTGGAAGGTTGCACTATCATAGATATTTTTAATAATGGAATAATATCTGGAATCAATTCTCGCGTCCTCCATTGCAGCTAGAAATGACCAGGTTTCGATGCTGTCAAAGGCTTTTTGGTAGTCTACAAAGGCCAAATGTAGAGGTATATTGTATTCTGTTGTTTTTTCAATGACTGTTTTAATTGTTTGTAGATGATCGATGGTACTAAAACCTTTTCGAAAGCCTGCCTGTTCTATTGGCTGATAGGAATCTAGTTTCGTAGACAGTCGGTTGTTGATAATCCTAGTGAAGAGCTTGTATAGATGCGAGAGAAGGCTTATTGGTCTATAATTCTCTATATTTGTAAAATCTCCTTTTTTGTATAATAGCACAACTTCTGCGTTTTTCCATGCGTCCGGGATTCTACCCTCCATCAGACATTTATTTAACAATACTTCCACGGCATCCACTAATGGTTTTCCGCCCATCTTCAGCATTTCAGGTGTAATACGATCTTCTCCTGGGCTTTTGCCATTTTTTATTTGTTTTGTATTGCCATTATTGCCCATTGTATTTACCCCCTTATATTACCCCTATTATTACCCCCCATCAGGGGGCACCCCATTGTATTTACCCCTTACTTCTACACGCGGGGCTCTGTAAAAATAGACCGACTATCCATAGCGACTCGTGGAAACACTATAAGATCGAATACTAAAAACACCACCGGTGAAGCTGTGGGGAAGCCCCCTAGCGACACTGGGAACATTACAAATGAAAGTTCCAAGGAACCAAATCCAAAAGAAACTACAAGAAGGGCGGCTGACACTTGCTTGGGATCATCCTCCATAAGTGGCACACAAGGTACCACCTTTTCCAGCAAGGGTCGGGAGCCTACCTCTAGACCCAAGGCAGGCTAGACGATCCTCTGAGAGTAGGTCTTAGCGGAGCAGAAGCACGGAGATACCTCCGACTGCTCCACGAAGGACTTGCTCCAGAGGAAGCAAAAGCGAAAACACTCCTCCGAAAAAAGGAGAGTAATGAAACCAAGAAACAACCTGACTCATCTCCATCAAAGGGCAAGAGAGGGAGCGAGAACCTCTCACCTCTTCTCTGGCAAGGAGAGAAAAAATCCAGGATGGAAAGCCGTCCAACACCGGGAGGCAAGAAGGGACGTATCACCAGCTTTGCCGCTATTGCTGGACAAGTGAAAATGGCAGTGCTGCCAAAGGATTTCTAAGAGGTCGGTGGTCTCTAAGATGGTCATGGTCAGGTCCTCACAATAGGAATTGACCTCAAATCCAAGGAGGCAATAGAGAAAGAGGGGCATATCCTCTATTATAGATACGAAGCAACACCAGTATCAGGTCTAATGAGAGACCAAGTTAAAGAGGTGGAGAAAATGGAGACAGATCCTCCTGCCTCGACCTCACGGGTACCTCAGCTCTTCGACTGTGAAGGACACGGAGGGCCAAACTCCAACCGTGGAAGGGTGTGTACCCTCGGAGGAAGAACATCTGTTGTCAGAGGAGGATGGGAAATACCCTGTCCCCTCTAAAACAGAGGTATGATGGGTTGTAGACTGTGTAATGACTAAAGGAAGGGGGCACAATAGATCTTTAAGGTAGCAGTGATTAACCCCCCTCTCACTCATTCTACTACATTCTACCTCTAGAATAAATTCTCCTGTCCTATCCTTTTCAAAAATCTATTTAATTGGAGACTGAAGCTTCATTGACCTACATCAACAACCTGGATGAGGTGTTCTGTTGTTTCCTCATTATCCCCACAGAATCTGCATTTGCCGCTGTTTCTTAGCTTCAATCTATTATATTAGTATGGTCTTTTAAGTGCTGAGCAAACGTTTCCCTCTTCCAATTTTTTTTGTTGACCAATATTACTGTCTGACGATGTGTTTTTGTGAATTATTAAAATTTAACTAATTCAAATTCAAATTCAAATTCAAATTTCTTTATTAGACCCCATTAAGTTTTACAGAATAATATTAGTATTAATAAATGTGTGTCTAAAGGGATCGCACCGCGATTAAAAAAACGATACAATGGCACAAACTGCCAGAGTGGTGCGACCCCAAATACAAAATAGAAATAAATTAAATTATAGAAATAAACAAAATTAAAAAAATTAAAATTATATAAAAAAAGTAAAAATATAATTTTATCAGGGATGAGCGGAGATAAGCAGAGAGGCATAATGAAACAGTGTAAAAACCGGAACAGCAACCAATGACGGGCATATCAGAAGAACAAGATCTCACAAATCAGTCGAAGAAATTATAATATTTACGAATTTAGTAAATGATTTTTAATTTGTTTTTTATAATCTGTAAAGGATTGAAATTTAAAGTTATTAGAAATATTATTCCACAAATGTGGCGCCATGAAACAAAGATTTTTGGAAGTTAGCTGTTCGGTGTTGAGGAATTTTAAAATAATGCACTTGTCTAGTCGAATGATCATGGTCAACGTAGTGAAACAATGAGAACAAATAGGGAGGCTGCTCTGTAGTTAAAATTCGATAAATGAATGTCATTAAATGAAATTGTCGTCTGTTAATCATGGATAAAATAGATAAATTTTTAAGATGTGGCGTTATATGATCTCTAAAAGGAATGTTTCGTAGCCGAATGAAACCGTAGACACGAGTTTTGAAGTATTTGGATTTTTCTAGAGAATCTAGCGTTTATGGGTGTACCATAAACAACATCGCCATAATCAAATAAAGATAAAATAAGTGTGTCACATAATTGATACTTAGTCTTTGATGGTATATATTTCTTAAGAGACGAAAAATTCTTCAACCGTATATAAGCAGCCTTTAATTTAGTAGTTATATGTGCCTGAAAAGAAAGCTTCGCATCAAAATAGACTCCAAGATTTTTAGTCTCTGTAACAATGGGTATCGTAATATTATCTATATGGATATTCATGTTACCAGCCGTATTTGTAATTTTGTTTATATCACTACCAAATACTATAACACAAGATTTACCGGCATTTAATTTCAAATTATGATCCAGAGCATATTTATTAATTTTATTAAGATCGTCGTTAAAATTTAACTGAAATTGTGCCAAATTATTAGTATCTATTCTGCAATAAATTTGAGAATCATCTGCATATTGCTGCAATTCAGAAAACTGTAATTCCTTATTCATATCAGCTACATATAACGAAAATAAAAGTGGCCCCAGAATAGATCCCTGAGGAACCCCAGAAATCATAGGAATATAACTAGATTTTTGTTTTAAACTTCCCCGTTTCATGACAACACAATGTGATCTATCTTTTAAAAAGTTTTTTATCAATTCTAAAGAGCCGTCTGAAAATCCAAAATACTGTAATTTTGCTAGAAGCAATGAATGGTCTAGAGTATCAAATGCTTTACTAAAGTCTAGTAAGCTAATACACGTCATATTTTTATTTTCTTGATTTGTTCTAATATCATTAACCAGCTTCAGTAAACTTGATTACTGATTAAAAATTAATGACATGTTTTGATTTGAAATATTAGCTTTGTTCGGGTTCTTGTTATAACCGATTCTGGACCGTCCTAGAACTCTGCAGCGCATGCGCAAATGAAATAATGTCTTCATATTTCCTTCTGCGCATACGCATCACAGTTCTAGGACGGTTCAGAATCGGTAATAAGAGAAACCCGAATTAAGCTATTAATAATTATAATTGTTTCAGCTTCATACAAAGCACGTCAAACGATAATCTCAAAATTGACATACTGATTGAGATACGCCAGCCCATAGTCAATTAAAAATAAACATCTTTACGTCTTCTCAAACACGCGCTCCACAACAATCAATTGATAATGTAAACAATATCAAATGTCAAAATATTAAGCCAGCGTAACGATTACAACCGTAGTTTATTTTGTTCTAATGTCAATTACATCTTCGCGTGACGCCGCAGTATAAATAACTTGTGATATTGCCAATATTCTGTCTCGATATTGAGACGATTGCTTCAAAAAAAATACGAGCAAATATCAAACTTGACATTTGCCCAGAAAATAAATATAGCATATTTATTGTCGAATAAAAAATCAGTAAAGTAAATCCCATTTTTTAAATATACATATACTAAAAAAAAACTTTTAAAAGGTTAATTTATCACATAACGTATATTTTTTCTTGAAAAATTTTTGGATAATTTCACTACCGAGGCTGAGATCTAAAAATTATTTTTTTTGTAAAATTCCAGTACGTAAGAATCCAAACAGAAACTAGCTTGTGAGTATCTTGTTTAGTGACAAGCAAGACTTGTCTGGTTCTTGCAGTTTTGGACTTGGTCTTTTTTTTTTTTTTTTAGAGGTGTAAAATACCTTTACTTACGGAGTGTGGGACTCAATCTCTCCTTAAGCTGTCTGGAGGACACTACCCACTAAACGTCACCCCCTTGCTCCTGCCACGTCTACCTGGACCCGCTGGACGCATCTCCTCAAGTAGCGCCGGACTGTTCCTTTTTTGTCATTAACCCCTGCTCTTCGCTGTATTTTGCCTCTAGTATATTTTGGGCCAGTTTTGAGATGGCTTCAAAGTTTTCTCTTCTTTCTGTTACCGATTTTAAGAGGGTATCTGCGGAGATGTTGCCACCAATCGTCATGCGTGCCTCACATCTTTCCTGTTCCCATCTTGGACAAGCAAACATTGTGTGTTCTGGAGTATCATTGGGTTCAGCACAGTATCGGCATTCCGCGACTTCCCTCTTTCCAATTTTACACAGGTAACTCCCAAAATTTCCGTGGCCACTCAATATTTGAGTAAGATAGAAGTTTACCTCTCCATGCTTTCTTTTAATCCACATATTTATATTTGGGATGAGCTTATATGTCCATCTTCCTTTTTGTGATACTTCCCATTCTGCCTGCCACTGCTGCACTGTGCGGTTTCTCTCCATCTCTCTGCTTGCCCTGGTTTGTACTTCACCCTTGAGAAAGAGTCGTTCTCTTTCTCTTGAGAGAAGATGCAAGGGCACCAGACCCGATATCACCAAGGCTGCCTCAGTTGAAGTAGTCCGATACGCCGAGCAGACCCTCAAAGCCATGACTCTTTGTGCACCTTCAAGTCTTTTTTTATTTACATGCATATTGGTTGCTTCGTTCCACACAGGTGATCCATACATAATAATATTCCGGCACGCATATGCTAACACTCTTCTCTTTGCTGGTGTTGGGCCCCGAACGTTTGGCAGTATTGCGGACAACGTTTTAGCAGTTCGTTGTGATTTCAGACACGCCTCCTTGATGTGCAGGCCCATCGTGAGTGCACGGTCTATGTGGAATCCAAGATAGTTGACTTGCTTTACTGGATTTATTATTATATCCTTAAAATTAAACCTTATATGGTCAACTTTTCTCTTGCGGCTCAGTAAAATCGCCTCTGTTTTTTCCACAGCTATTTCGAGTCTCTGCTCACGCATCCATCTGGCTATGATCTTTAGTGTATCATCCACAGTCTGCATTAGGTCGAGGTCGCGTTTATTTTTTTGTTTCTTTTAGTTTTTTTTGTTATTATCACAGCAAGATCATCGGCGTAACAGATCAACTCTGTCCCACCTGGACTTGGTCTTAGTCATGCACAAAAAGCAAAACCAGGACCATGACCGAGACTAGCATTTGATCTGCAAGTCCGCAAGACTTCCGCAACTTCCTTTATGAGACGCGTGACTTTGTCTTTGGTAGGGAAGCTCCTAGTACTTGTACTTTGGCTGGGTCTAAGGAGCATCTCATTGTCTTTGTTTGTTGTATTTTGTATTTTGTATTTCGCTTTATTTCCAGTTGTCTTGACCCACTTCGGTTTGCCTCTTACCTACGTGAAAAGCGCCTGAAAACTACTCGTGAGAAGGGCGTGGGTGGATTTTTTGGCGTTTCCTGTTGCCTCGTTCAATTTTCTTTCGTTTTCAACTATTTCCAAAACGTGGCGGTATCTGTACCCGAGGCAAAGAACTTTTTTCCAGCTGTCTGTGTCATCAACTGTTTTCTAAATGCACTGTTTTTGACTTTTCATATCAGTTTAATATAATGGTATTACATTACACTCCATTACAATTTAATGATATTTATTCATGCTCCATGTTTACTTCCTTTTGTGAAGCCTATTTCTTTCCTATTTCTGGAAATATTTCGTAAAACATTTTGGGGATAGTGTAGAGGTTGTTTAACAAATGACAGGCATAATCGTACGGTAAAGATAATATTTTCTAACGAATTGTTTCGCGCGTGCCGCGATCCCCCTCCTCTGTCCCCGTTAAAAAAAGATAATGGAAATAGCCTTGGTCGTTTTGCTGGCAGGTAATATACAGGGCGGTAGGGAGGAGCCAGGCCCGACACTTACATTGCTCTACTAATCCAGCATCGATTCTGTATTCTCTCCCAGTGTCTTGGTGGCGGACTAAGTGCTACAATTAGTTGGTTTAGTAGGTGAGTCGATGTAATTTTAGAAAACTTGGCTTGGATTCTATTCTGGCATGATTTTTTCCTGAATTTTTGCTTTTTAATCATTAAAATCATTTAAATATATACCTGTATTATTATGTTATTCTCAAAAGAAAATACTAAAATATCTATAAAGTTTTCAATATTCTCTCTAGTAATTTTTTAAATCATTTTTTACTTTTATATTATTTAATATAAATATAATATTCATTATTGTATTTTAGTTGCAATACTATATCGTTTAGTTATTGTTTAACTTATTGTTCTGTTAAAGTTAAAAAATCAAGTATGGTAAAAATTATGTGATTGATCATTACATCATATTAAAGAAATCTATTTAACTACTTAACTATTTTTTCGCAGCAGTGAATATGATATATAATATAGTGTTCTAAAATTAAAAAAAATATATTTTTATAAAATATTTAACTGAATTTCAAAAAAAATATTAAGAAATTAACAGTAATTAATTTTTTAATACATCGAATGATCCTGTAGTTACAGGTACTAAAAATTAACTTATTATGCAACCATTTCGTCTTGAAGTTTTTATTTTTTAATTAATTTAAGAACTTTAAATATAACATCATCCAGCCTCTATACTCTATAGAATAGATTTTGTCTGGTATATTATAAGAAAAAATATTATAATTTATTCATGATTTTATGATATTGTACCAAAAATGTATTTTAAATATCCAATTTAAAAATTTTAAATCATCTATTATATTATTATTATTAACAAAAACACATTTGAACAGGCAATACGTATAGTAATACTTTTTAAATTATATCCAAGTATTTTATTAAAATTGTATTGAATAATACCATTAATAATTAATCAAAATATTTTTTTAAATTAAATTTTATTTTACTATATTCTGTCTAACCAGTGTATCCCCGACAGTGACAGTTGTAAACATTTTAATTCACAAGCAAATTGTATTTTCTATCATTTTTTGCATGCGATCTGTCAAAATCTTCTCTGATTCCTTTGACAAACTTTACCATTATGTACTAATTTAACATTTGAATAACAATTTAATTGCTTCTTAATTATTATTAATCTATATATTTTACTTTATATATCAGTTATACATATAAAAATACTTTAACTAAAATTAATATTTTTAATCGTAATTAAAGAAATAAATTGCATGCATTTGTTAACGCCAATGGCCACTTTCATGTTTTTAAACATAGTCGTTCTGTATGCCAACTGAACTTAAAATTGTTTGTTTTTACACGTTCACTAGTAGATATTAATTATGTTGGTTCTGTTGTGAATTTTCACCCAGCATTTTCATAATAGTGTAAGCTAGCAATGTATATTATTTCTAATTACTTAAGTAATTTTCCAACATATTTTTAACATTTATGCTACAGTGATTGAAGAACCGATCTCTTCCTTTAGTTTACCAAGCTGCCTAACCTAGTTTTATAAAGGAATACAGCATAAAATGTACTTTAACATGACACCACCTTTTATTACGATTTTGTTCTAGTAAATAAATACTAAAATGGCGGACGATGACAACGCTGACTGGTTCTCAGCGGCTGACGAACCCGAAGCCGCCCCTGAACCAGCGGCGGCACCTGCGGGGGCGGCTGGAGGCGCTGAAGAAGCTCCAGCTGCTGGCGGGGAAGCCCCAGCTGAAGGCGGCGCCCCTGAGGAAGCAGCCGCCGCCGAAGCGGAGGCTGACTACTTGGATCCTGACAAACTGTTGTTGTTCAAACATTGGATAAGGTAGAAACATTTTAATTTATTTTTTTAATATTTTCTTATTTTTGGGACGCCTTCATAACATCATGTAATATGAGGGAGCCCGTAGAAGAAGCTTTATTAATATTTATAAATTTTATTATAATATAAAGTGTAATAATAGTCTTGTTATAGCACCTAGGGACAAGTTTAACTGGATCGTGTAGTATTTTTCAAGATTATCATATTTTGGACAATTTCTACAAACTAGTTTCTAATGCTCTACATCTTTGAAAAGGTGGTTACCACCCTCCCTATTTATTTTACATTTATTTTTTGTTCAATTTTATTTATAATTCTTTGAACTTAAATGTTTTCTTATACTTCCATGCATTCTGCACTCTTTATTGTAAATGTTGAGATGTATTAATTTCACTTTTACAAATGATGCCAAGTAATGTCCACCCCCCTTGGCAGGTCCAGGAACCTCGCTGGCCTTTATACTGCTCTACCATTTCCAATACATCTTCCGGGGAAATGATTTGATTGTTTATATTATATTATATTTATATTATTTATTTTACATTATTTTATTGCATTTGATTTTCAGTATTCAATGTTTTACCCCACGTCATTGTTAAGCTTGAAAGCATATCAATATTGTAACGATGAATAGATTGATTATTAAAAAAAACAGAGCCGGACCTGAAATTAGTTTAAATAAATTGTGTTCAAATGTCCGAAACAAAAAAAAAATAAGTGTGGCATATCATTGTACTCAGGAGACCGAGTTCTTACAAAACCTGAAATAAAAAATGCAAATCAATTAAGTTGGCCTTAACTTGGCTAATTTTAAAATCTAAAAATACTATCAAATACCCCTAATAAAGTGGCTAAGAGAATGTCCAGTTAGTTTTTTGATTTTCTAAAAAAATGCCAGGAAAAAATAAAATTGATTTTCAAAAAGATCCGTTTCTTCCAAAAAAACTTAAGAATCCTTAAAATTTTTCATACTTTTTTGATGGCATCTTGGTGAACATCTTAAAGCAACTTTGCTCCAATTTATCTATTATATATTATTATCTATTATATTGTATATTTACTATTATATTGTATCTATTATGGTTACTGAGATACCAATGCTCGTACCCCGAACTTGTAGCACCCTGTATATGTTTCAAGCGAGTTGAATAATACTGTTAGGTCTCGCATTCTTTTCATAAAAAAACGCTCTAATACAGGATGAAGAAAATAATAATTTTGACTGTTTTGGCGGTTTATTTTCTGGAACCTTTGGGGTATATATTTGGCAGTACAACCCGCGCTGGGAAATTAGTATTTGCGACGTTGCCGCTGGTCCGTACGCAATTCCTATTGTTTTCGGCTAAAAATAATTCGGAATGTTATCTACCTGCCGCTTAACTAATTATTTTCGACAACAAAACGATCTTCTATGAGAGCGATATCGTGCCAAAAAATCCGAACGCAGTCGATTTCCAATACCTAAGACCTATTCCCCTTGATTTTTTTCCTTTAAATAATAACAATTAAAATCGCACTATGGATAGATATGACTCTTAGATCTATTGTGTTTCCATTTCTTGAGTTAAAACCCATCATACAGTCTCAGGGTTTTGACAAATGCCAGTATCTGAGACGGTTTTACAGAGGTTAGTTCTCCATCTCTGATATCAGTCGTATCAAAGTTTGTGGCACTCGGCATTTCGTTTTTTAAAGCAATAAGATGTTTTCAAAATCATGAAATTTTGATTTTTCAATTAATTGTTTGATAACTACTTGGTTACTTTTGAACCGCCAAAACTTTCATAAGTTTATGTTGATTAACCAGTTAGCAACCCATCAGAGCAAACTCTTTGCCTTCAATTTTCTCGAAAACCATCACTCTGGGCGATGTGCAACAAGAGTACCTTTTTTGTAGGAAAAGGTATGTAGTTTTTAAAAAATCAACCCACGTTGCAAAAAAAATAACCTCAAAAAAGTTATTCACGAAACAACCCCCTACCCTTGCAAAAACTACCCTTTCCGCTTTTCCAAATAATTTTTCAGTATCACCATTTGATTTAGGGTCAAAATTTATGGCAGAGGATTTTTTTTCAAAATTTTATCTCGTTTTTTAAGCCTACAATTTTAAAACAACCGTTTTTTAAATTCACCCTTTCAGTACCCCTAACTCCCTTAATATGCATTTTCCGCCCTATACTTATAGGAACTTTTTTTACTATTTTTAGGAGTACTGTCACCCCCTTTTTTCAATGACACCCTGTATATGTCGGTTAGGTACCCTATCAATGTAAAGGAAATTGCCAATTTTTTTTAAGCGTTTTTCTGTTCTCCTCTTGTTTCTATAGCAATTTTTCTGTTAACACAACATAAATTGTGTTTGTTGATACGGTGCCCACAGACAAATGGCTTTTCTTTTGGTCAGTAAGCAAAAAAATCCAAACAACGATTAATAATCCCAAACAGATTTATTACATTTTAAGTAGTACTCGATAACCATAGAGCTATTCGTTCCCGGTTTTTTGTTTATTGTCCAGATTAGTCAACTGGACCACTGCCAAGCCCTATTAATTAGTTCGTCTATTTTAAAAGGCTCCAACGGATCGGTTCACTGTGGGAATGGACAAAAAAAATTAATTAGGAATGTGCGTTTCAAAGGAAAATATCGATAAATCCGCATGTCTCAGTAGGTACCTCTATAACCTCACAGTTATTATTTTGTGATTATCAAAACTAGTTGATTATGACTATACATGGTGTAAAAAAATTGGCGCCGGGAGGCACGTATAGTAAAATACGTTAATAAAAAGTTGGTAGGCAGTTCTTTTAGTTTCAATTATCTCAAAAACTGCGACCTTGACTGATTTTGATGTTATTACAAATTTTGTTGCAAATATTATTCCTAATCTTAAATTCAAAACCAAAACCGCGTTTCGCTAGCTACTGTAATTTTGGAGTTACGATTTTTTAAAATTTTTAACCTCCTCCCATATCCCCTTACCAACCCCCCACCCCACCAAAAACTAATGGCCAGATTCTCGGGTGCCACAGTATTTTTGTGCCAAATTTGGTTAAAATCGGTTTAGCTGTTTTTGAGTTATCGTGTTACAGACAGACGGACAGACAGACGGACAGACAGACGGACAGACAGAGAGAGAGAAAGAGAGACACCATGAAAATATTTTGTATTTAGGTCATTTATGACCCAAATAACTCATTTTGAGTGAAATTAAAAAAAATTTTTTTTTTGCCGATCTTAATAGCCTACCCTCGAGCCTACCATACCTGTTCGTATGGTCGGCTAAAAAATATCGATATTTTGACAGATCGATATTTTTGAACATTCGTAATTTAATTATATTTTTAAAAGTAACAATGTCACAGGAAAGAGAAACAAACGATTAAGTGTAATAAATTATATATTTTTTCCTGTGCGCAAATGCTGGTCCGTTTAATATTTCGGGTTAATTATTTTATTTAAATTTAAACTATTGTTGGGCCATCTCGATTTATTTTTATCAACCCACACCGCCTGTTGAATTTTTTGCATAATGTCTTGGCAATGTTTGAATTTCATATAAATTCGCAATTTTATTGTGTCTTTGGAGCTTAAATTAGTCTCATGTCTTCGTGTATATAAACTATTCAAAACAATTATTATCGCATATTTTCTAAAAAAAATATTATTTTAAAAAACAAGACACTTTGAATTCCCTGACTTACGGTTTTAAATAGTTTGAATACTGTGAAGAGAAATTCGAAACAATAAGCCTACGCGTTGACTTGTAATTTTTAGTCGGCCGACTATTTAGTTGCAAAAGTGAAAACAATACATACTTATGGAGCCGATCGGCCGACTATTTGATTGCATGTGAACGCGGCTCTATAAGAATATATTTGTTGCAAATTTACAACTATATAGTCGGCCGATTAAGAATTGCCTGTCAGCGTATAGCCTAAGTCTCAACTCAAGGCTTGGAAGATTCCATCCGCAACCTGGAATGGAAATCTTGCAATGGTCTAGGACACTCGAAGAAGTTTCTGAGGGCTTATGATCAAGAAAAATCACAGATCTTCCTGGGTCTGAGTAAGAACAATCTTCGGATTGTCACGGGGTTTTTAACAGGACACTGTCTCCTCAATGAACACCTCAGTAGATTGAAACTAAGAAGAAACGGTGAATGCAGATTCTGTGGGGAAGATGGGGAAACACCAGTACACCTCATCACTGAGTGCGCCGAGACGACAACCATTCGTGCCATGAATTTTGGTACGACTGATATTGGAGATGGAGAACTACCCTCTATAAAACCGTCCCAGATACTGGCTTTTGTCGAAGCCCTGGGACTGTATGATGAGTTATGATTCAAGAAAGGGGGACACAATGGATCTGTAAGGTCGAAGTGATTAACCCCCCTCCCACTCATTCTAAATTCTAAAATAGCCTAAGTCTACGCGATGCAATTAAATAATATTGGGCCGATCGGCTCCATAAGAATGTATTGTTTTTACTTTTGCAACTAAGTAGTCCAGCCGACTAAAACTTACATGTCAGTGCGTACCCTAATTATCCTTAAAAACTCACGAGAAAGGCAGAAAAATGCATGCTTCATTTAGAAATATGTAATAATTACTTTTATTCAAATATGCGTTAATTGTTTTCAGTGGTGTATTTTTATATTTTACTGAAGTTTGACGGCTATTTGTGTTACAGTTCAAATGTTTTTTGTTACAGTTTATTTTATTTTATTTGGTTATGGGGATTGGTCTCCCTATCTCTATCGCTCGAACAAATGGAGTTAAAAAACTTTAAATAACAAGCTTAATAAATTAAAAAGCTCTAAAAGCAAACATGTTTTTCATAGAGACATTAACATAGTGGAGAATCTCTCTTCGTAGAACTTTGACAAACAAGAAGGAAGTTTTAATCATCTGCTGATGATACTAACATGGTTAGCGAAACGCGCGTACAGGGCAAAAATAAAGAGTTTTGGTTGTAGCTGTATTGTGGTGGGGGGAGCTAT